CATTCTTTTGGTTAATTGTTGTAATCTGTATTTAAATTTAAAGTAGACGTGTGAGTATTCATGCTTCAAGGGCTCAAGCTTTCATTGGCAATAAGCCCGTTTTAACTCCTACAATGTCAGGAAGAACTGCAGGAATTTTGCATCTTGCAGAACTGGACTCTGGCTTTGCATGACTTTGCAGTATTGAAAAAAAAACAAACAACAAACCCAAACCCTAAACTCTAAAGCACAGAGTTCTTAGGAACTGTAGCGTTGTTTCTTTTCAATTAATAATTTGAACTAACTATTGAAATATAGTAATGAGTTCACTCTTTTTAAGTCCAGGGTTTTAGTAACGCTACTGATTGATATTAAAACTGAGGTCTCATTACACAGCTAGCTTGTATGATAAATGACCCTGCAGTTCCCAAGTTTGGTCCAAAGGCCATTGAAATCTATGAGCCACTCAACTTTAATAGCTGCTCCAACAAGAAAAACGTAGCAGCAACCTCAGGTAGTTTTACTTATTAAATTTAAGAAGCTATTTTTGGAGAAAATTGCTCCAAATGTCATCCACTTCAAAAAAAGATACACAGGATTACAGAGAAGCCAAAAATACATTTCTCAAAATGCCAAGAATTTTTTCCATTTTAGTACACATTTATTTTACTTTTATTTGTTATTATTTTACTTTTTTCCCTAAATGCTGATGATTACTTAGAGCAGCTTTTCATCCACAGAAATTATAGGAACTCTGCCTTGCTCACCTGCTTTGAATTAAATGTATTTCTAGATATAAACCACAGCACTCTGCACTTCTACTTTTTACCGTTCACTTGTGCAAAAGGTATCACAATGAGAGCAATAGTAAGGCATAAAACTTTTCCTGCTCCTCATGGGGGACAGCAGAAAAAGGAGAGCCCTGCTGTGCAGGCTGCAGAAAAGCTATGCAAAACTCCCCTGTGTACCACGGAGCTTCTCCCTCACAGAACGGGGCGAGGAGGGATCTGCAGCCTACGGCTAAGCCTGCTAAGTCAGTGACATCTTTGCAACGAACAGGGCTCTGACTTATGTTCTTAGCGAAGAGCTGCTAGCCCAAGACTACAAAGATTCACTGGCCAAAAAAATCTCTCATCAGAGCAACCAAGAAAGAAATCAAATGTGCAGAAGCCCTTACTACAATTTGTGGGTTCTTCTCCTGACTCTTCATAGAATTTGATCCTAAAAAGCATTTTCCACCTAGCCCACAAAAGACAGCCAGATCTGTCTCTTGACAGTATATAGCACCTTTATTTATCCCTGAGAGCTCCGACATCCCTAGAGGTCAGCATCATCTTTGCCATTTACTGCAAGAATGTCTTCAGACAACTTTTCTTACTAAAAAAAGTCAGCTCAAATCTTGCATAATAATAATCTGGTTTCATCCCCATAAAAACAGAAGCACATTTGGCAAATGGACAGGTTTATAGTGGAATTCTAAGCTTTTGACAAATAAATCCACCTCCGACTCACACTGTGATTGGATTTGGACAGTGGATGTTCTTCTAATGTCCAACACTTCATGAAGCACTCAGCGCAACTACATGTAAAAAAGCATCCCTTTTCAAGGCTCAGAAAAAAGTGCTAAAAACCGATTTTCTTTTAAAAGAAGTTAACTGAAAATCTAAACAATGGTTTTAAAATTAATTTTGTTACAGGAGGTTGTGAAGTTTATTTTCATTTGGTATCTTTAGAAGAGAAACTGCTTATTTTCAATGCTCACTTGGAGCCATATGCTTACATACAAAAGCAATCCTGCTGTCTTCAGTAGGAAAACTCACATAAAATCTAGTCTATTAAGGTCAAGTCTATCAATGCACAAACTGCTGATGGACAGAACTGAAAGCCGAAGTGGAGGAGGTAGCAGTGTTATGCTTAAAAAAATAAATCAAGACTGTAACTACCAGACTAGAGAGCAACAGCCTCTAAAAGTGAACACAACTTCTTTCAGCAAAATAGAAAAGAAAGCCAAAAGACACACATTTCCTCACCCACCTCAGATAATCCCGTAAATTTTGGACTAAATTGCTTGTTTTAACTGCTCCTTTCAATGCCTCACAGCTGAGGTTCTGTCCCAGTAACTGCTGAACAGCTAAAAATTGTTGCTTGAAGTCGTGGTTGTATATAATTTCATTAAAAGCTGCATGTGTCAGGTTATGAAGATCACAGTCTAAAGTTTAGAAATGGAAATGGTACAACCTACAGCATACCTTCCCATTCAAAAATACTTCTGAAGACAGAAGTGAACTGTGGCAAAAAGTAGCAATGTTTTTAAAACACAGCATGATACAAACAGCTAAGTATGTTTGTTTCTTTCAATACTTCTGTTAACACCGATAGGTCAAATTGGTTTGTTTGCAAGATTTATATATAAAGAATCAAGTCTTCAGTAACGGGTTGCCTCTGGACTTCCAGTTTTACATTTGGCAGTTAATACTTCCTAGGCATCTTATAGTTACAAAAAGAACATTTTTTTTTCCCCCATCTGAAATATTCCATCTGATTTTTACTGAGAGCAGAACAATTCAGACTGCCTGAAAGCAGACCAAATGCACTAAATTAATACAGTGTACTTTAAAGTAATACATTTTGTACAGAATGACATATTAGCACAATGTCATTTGGACCGTGTGTTTTTCTTTGTGAAAGTAGCTTATTACAGAGGAAATTGAGGCAACCTATTTATTATTCTTAATTGATGTTTTGGGAGACAATTATTGTTTTGAAGGGGTTTTAATCATTCATAATAGTTTCCAAACCCTTGTTACAGGTCAGAGAATAACATAATTTCATCAGTGATAAAAATGACTTTCAGTCTCATTTCATTTTGCTAAGCAGGTAGCAAGGGAAATGGACACTTAAACATACCTGCAGACTGGTCTACCATAGGGGTTTTTTGAAATTAAACCAGGTATCTGCTAACTAATAGCTCACTTTTGAACAGGGATTTTCAACTCTGCATCTCAAAACACTTGAAAAGGCAGGTAAAACCACACTGTCCCCGTTTGCAAACCACAGACAGAGGATTATTTAGGGATACCATCATTAGACCAGACCCATGGGACAAAACGGAAACTACTAAAGGTACGACTCATCTTCAGGTCCATGCCACAGCCATTGACTCAGCCACCTACACAGCTACCAAAATACCCACATCTCCAGTGTTACCTCTAAGAGCTCTTACATTCTGTAGGTGTTCTCAAAGGGCTTCTGTGGATATTCTTCATTGCAACACTGCACAGCACTAGCAAAATCTGTTCTAGTACTGACAAAATAATCTGGAGGATTCTACAGAAACTTCCAGTGCTTTAAAGGCTTTCTTGACTGGGAACATAAACATTTTTAATGGTCATCTTTGCACTGTGTAAACCAGCAATCACAGCTGCCACACCTTTTCCGTTACATTTCACACGATCATTTCCCCTTCGCCACTATGCACCTTCTTACTCCAATTTTGGTTCTCTCACTTCATCAACTTAAAAGGCTCTTCCTAAAATAACAGGTTAGTAATGGTATATTACCATATGAAACAATGCATGATTATAGTTTCTATGTTTAACTACATAAATAACAGAGCAAAAAAAGTGCTTAAAACATTTGCATCCACTTTGATTTCAGCCAGTAAAATCAAACTGTCTTCTAAATATATGAATAATACTGAATATGTACTTTCTCTCAGCCATTTGTTTCCAATAACCTTGTAGATAATTAGAATATTTTTCCTCTGTTTGTTGCAGGTAAACATGCCTCCACTCAAATGGAAGTTATCAACAGTTAACATCATCATCTTTCATTTGTCAGTTCTATTCCACGGCACTACCACTACCAATAGCTTCCCCTAGTACTTTCTGCATGATTTTTGGAAAGTTAGTTCAAACATTGTTGGTCTTCTCCTCTGAAAATATTATGCTGTTTAAAAAGTTTTGGGTTGTGATGTTTTGGGTTTTTTTAATTAAAAAATGCTGAATATAAAAATAGCTGTCCTTAAAGCAACAGCTTAAAATATCTAAGAGATGCTAATTTTGCTGAGTAAACCAGAGGAAACCAAAAGTTCATTTTAAAAAATATAGATGTATTGTTCTAAATATAAAATTGAAAGCAGAATGAAACTGCATAAGACCTTGACATTCCCAAGGAGCAGGTTTCTCACCCCATGTGCATCTACAGAATTTAGCTTTTGCACAGTTAACAATTATGTTTTAAAACATAACGTTAGTAAAATTGTGCCATGTACTTCCATTCCATAAGATATTTATTTTGCCCAGAGTAACACCACTCTAAAGAACGTATGCAAGTACTACAGACCAGTACAAGTAAAATCATTCTCTAATATAACTGCAGCTGAACATGGGAAGAATTTAGTCCAGCGAAGATCCTGCTTTACAGGGACTGTTACACTGACTCACATTTAACAGTCACATACCAGCCCTAAAAGGTAACTGTGTGATTCATCATACGAAGAAAACACCAGTGAGAGCAGGTCTGCCTGGACAACTGTAATTTTCTTTCTGTAAACTCTTGCAGTGTCCCTTAGGAAGTGACAGGGGTTATATAAGTCTAGAACTTTTGAGAAACTGAATGAGAACTCCATAGACGAAAGTGTACTGCGAAAGAGTCTGCACCATCATCATTCTCTGCTGCCTCAACATGTCCAGCACTCGTGGGATGTCCAGCATCTGGAGGAAGAGAACAAACCATTACAAGTGACTGGTGAGCAAGGAGAGTGGCTTGCACTTTCTCAGCAGGAGTTTCAGAGCAGTACCAGTGATCTAAGGGCAGAATTGGCTGCTCTAATTTCAGCTCTGACAATTCATTGCCCATGCCACCACTCACTATGCCTACCTCCTCATCTGTGGAATACGCATACTGTTAAACTTGCCTATCTCATAGGGTATGGGTCTTCACAAATCTAATGGCTGCGTATTCTGTCACAGTGTTAGGATGGGGATGCACAATGAAACAATCAATTTGTTGAGTCTGAGCTGGCATATTTATATTATTAATAAACACTTTACAGCTGTTCACTTCTGGCTAAAAGCTATTGATAGGACCAGGTTTTATTCTATTAAGCTATCGCTTTGTCCTCTGCTGAGACTGATACTGCAAATACGCTACACTTAGGAACAAAATATTTAATAACAAGCACAGAGACTGGCTACAAAGCATGTTCTTGAACATTATCCATTAAAACTAAGGCATGAAGTAAAAGTGGTAACATCACAGTGAAATCCTGAAATATGCTTAGTAGCCTAGGGCATACCTTGTTCCACTCAGTGACTCAACATCTTCTGGAGTCAAGAATCCAAATGAGCGTTCCAGTACCCAGTGTGTAAGTGGGCAACTCTAGAAGATTATTAACTTCTGTTGAATTGACAAGAGCTCTTTCAAACAAACATAGTTGTAAGGGCTCTTCCAAAGGCTGCATCTTGGGAAAGCTCAGATGAACAGCCGTAAAATATTTATTAGGCAGGTCATTTACTATCCCACTACCTAACATTATTTAAAGCACAAGAAAGAAAAAAAGATCACCTCATTGTGTTCCAAGCAAGCAATCATGATCTCCGACAGTATGACCACTCCTGTTCGTCCTACACCTGCACTGCAATGTACCAGTACAGGAGGATTAGAGTTTTTAGGATCTGCAGTGCTGTTCGTATGGCGCCGTACTGACTGTATCTCTTCCAAGTATGCTATTAATTTCAACAACATAAGAATAATAAATTTAGGAGATGAAGCCCCATAAGCCATGCTATTACACTGTATGAGCACACAAAAGTAGTAATTTAACAAATGACATCCCACAGAAAAATTATGCGCTGTATATATCACAAGTCACATCCCAACCAAAGCAATACGGATCTATAAAGATCATCTAACATTTTTAAGGCTTTCCTTGCCTTGTTCCCCTGTTCCCCACCAAAGGCGGCTTGTGGCCATCTTGCTACTGCTGAAACATACTCAAATGTGTAGTGTGTGATGCAATTTCTTTTAATCTACATGAACTTTTAGTAAATTATATATTTGGCTTTAGACATAAACAGTCACTTCAACAAACTGGCGGGTATATTCCTGCCAAAAATATAATTCAGTATCTCTTGCTGGTATGCCTTTCAAAGCAGAATGCTTGGCATACTTATCAAAAGCTAATTCACATATAACAGCCATTTTAGGAGGTATTAAAAAAACAAAAAAAACCAAACAAAAAGCCAAAAACAAATGCCAAAACAACACTATTAAATACAACTTACAGAGAAATCCCTTTAAATCCTCTGGACAGCCATGCTCTGGCCAGTCAGTATACTGCAGATGCCAAACTGTTCTCTCCTGTCCTGTGAGAAGATGTTTAATCTTCAAACCCGTAGTTGCATAGCAGCCTGAGTCAGTACGGAACCGTGTGGTAATCTTAAATCTTCCATATGTAACAGTGTTGTGTCTTGAACCAAGACGTGGCCAATATCTGAAGCTTTTTTCTCGCCCACTTTCCTTAAAAGTAAAACACTTGCTTATCAAGAAACATAAGAACTTTCATACAACTAATGCTCCTGTAACAACTGTACCTCTCCTCTATTGAGTATTACTACAGTGATACTGTTTCTCACTGAGTAAACCAATTTTTCAGTGGAAAGAATTTGCATATTTACATCTTTCTACCAAGGAAAGCAAGACAGAATGGCAAAGGGGTCACTAGAAATTTATCTTTGATTGGTCTTCTTGTTAGCGCAAAGATCTCCTTCCTCTAACAGATCATAACAAAATCATGGCGGAATTTCTGAGAGAAACCTGACTCAGTTTATACTCACTTCCTCTGCCGTCACCATAGCTATGATGGCAATCCCTTGTTCCCAGATCATCTGCCAGAAATCCTGACATGTATTCTGCAAAGGGCCCTGCGTAGCAATGTAATCCCACTCTATGCCACCAACAGAGATCTGCAAGAAGAAAGACGTTAGATTAGTAATTATTGAAAACTCCCTTTCCCCAATTCTTGAGTCAGCCATTTGAAGATGCACAAACTGAAAAAAGACAGCAACACTGAAGTAGGAGCCCATTGTGAGTTATGTCTATCTGCCTCCCATTTTTTAGATGCATCTTGTCATACTACATGCAGAGGAGGAGACACAATGTTTAAAATTGTATAGGCACATAGCTAAATAAATGTATTTTACATCATAAGCATAATGTAAAAGTGAGTAAATGGAATTGTATTTCTCTTTTGTGAACTTAAGGTATTCTAGCCAATTTGGATTTAGAGAAGCTTTCATACCCTGGTGCTGTAAATGCTATTATATGCACTGAAAAGTCAGAATTAGCTGATGTTTCCTCAAAAAATATTGTCTTGTTTGAGAAAGGTCAGAAGAGTTACTCAACATTTGTGAATGAGTTGAACTATAGAAACTATGGTACCATGTCAGTGTACAAACACATTTATTAAAAAAAGACAGCAACACAAGTACAACTGCTGCTTTGACGATCTCAAGTCTTTTCAGAGAAACCATGAAGCCAGTTGTAGTTGCACTTTAAGTAGGTAAATGCATTGAAAATGAACGAACTGCCCTGAAGGTTCTTGAGGTCACCCTGCAACTTCTTCACTTTTTTCAACAGAGTTTAAAGAGCTAAGGCTGGGGAAAGGGGGCAACTGAAAATTATGAAAGAGCAGATTTCCTCCTGGCTCCATCTGTTCCTCTAACCATCCAAAAAAGCTTAAGCTGGCAGCTAGCTTCTGCCTGTTGTGGATCTAGTCTGAGAGTACAGAAGAGGAAGAAATAATAAGGATTGTTACTGTAGTTCAAAAATGTCATAATCGTTGAAAAGGATCCCAGTTTGTTATAAAGCTATGTGGTTTCTTAACTGTGGGAAGAATGGGCATGCCTTCTGTTAGCACCAATCTACAGAGAAACAAGACAGAGAGAGAAAGGAGACGGTAAGATCAATACAGAAGCAAAACGCAGAAGACCTCTCCAATAATGAACTCTCCATTATTCTAGGTAACAAGGAAAAACAGGTTCCTCCTTTCTGCAAAGAAACCTCTGCAGAAGGAGGGGAAAAAAAGAGGTGAAAGGATTCTCACTCATCTGACCAAACCAAAATTGACAGCCAAATCCATTTTTAGTTACCACATGAACTAGAAAATATTTCTCCAACAGTATTTCGCTCACCTTGATATGAGATGCATTGATGTAACCCGTGTTATTTTCTTTGGTTGGAACTAGCTCTACTCTGGTATCATCATATGGAAGGACATCCTGGAACCGGTTTCTTTCAGCATTTTCAGGAAGCCGAGCTATTGAGCACTCACCATCTATAAGTCTTTTTTTCTGAATGCGCTCATATTCAGTAAACACCATCCCCTGCTCTAACCGTTGTTCCAGAACTTTACACTGAAAGACAGAACACAGATAACCATACAAAGTCACGTTCTAAGGCAAGAGTCTATTTTAACAGAGAATTCATGAAGGATAAAATGAATGTATTTTCCTCTCCTACACACTTTTTCAATGCTTTTCCAGCTATTAATGTTTTCACAAACATACCAGAATAAATTAGAAGCAACCCTAATTGGCAGGAATTTTGTTCAAGTGAAAACTAAGAAGCCTGTTATATTTCATTAGGTCACGAAGACTGTGGATACCACTGGTGAAAGAAAAATTACTTCATGGTTTCTATAAAGACAACCCTGTTGGGCAAAAAAATATTTGGCCAAACCAGATAGCTATGCTATACTACAAACCACCTCAAATACCTTTGAACAAGAAATACTCCTTAATCCTCCTGCTCAATATAGCATGTTAGATTACATCATTCAAAAAGTTCTCTTTTAACCTTGTAATCAAAAAAAAACCCCAAAACCACCAAAAAAATTAAGTCAACTTTGTCATTTGGATGGAGAAAACCTCTAAAAATGTAAAACAAAGCACTTGCCTCAGTCAATGAGCTAATAATTCATTACCAATATTCCACATTTTCTTAGGCTGAAGATACTAAACTTTGCATACAGCAGCAAAGCCTTCTTAGAACCTCTTGCTGCAGTTGAGGTATAAACGCAGGATTTTTTCTACTAGTATAATTCAATCTGTTCTGTTTAATAAGCTGCTCCCTCCCCACCTCCCCCTCAATGTATTCTTTCGAAACCAAGTTCTTTCTAAATCATAAGACACTTCTGGAATTTCAGCATCTCTTTGCCAACAATAATTAGAAGAATAATATGTAAGATTTCAGCCAGAAAATTTCATCTATGTCACATGTCCCCAGCCTCTCACAGCAACTGCTCCGCGGTATCAGGTCAGAAAAGTGTCTTGTATCAAATAACCGTAATGCCAAATGTTGCAGAGGAAGGTGTAAAAGCTCAATCATACGCAATTTGCAAATCAATACATCAACTGTGCAAACTCCTTTATTATCTTTAGGCTAAATTTCCTCATTTAAACTGATAACAACATGAAGCTGAGCAATGAAACAGGCATTAAATCAACTTTAAAGTCATCTTCTAAAATACTGCAGTCTGGAATTCCTTTCATGTCACATGTCTGCTTTGCATTGCCTCTTCTCAACTGTTTTAGGAATTACTCCCATTTCATGGTATCTGTTCTTCCTCTACATGACTGCCTGAACAGAAAGTGTAGTGACATGTCTTTTTCATAACTTGACTTTATGGATTCTTCTTTTACCTCAACACTTTGGGCAGAACTAGCTGAATAATAATATGACTAAATTCAGTAAAGGTCAATCCAGGAAGAGATGGTGGCTGTAAGTAAGAGGAAACAACGAACACAGGTACTAAATGTAGAACTGTATCTCAATAACATAATATTAATTTTTGTCCCTTAGCATCTTTAAGAAGCGTATATATAGTTCAAAAAGAACTTCGACTGTGTTGAAATGGAACAGTCAAATCTCCCTCTTATGGATCTCACTCCAAGCCTTCACACTCCAAGACTGAATTTGTACTGTGTGACTTGCAATTAAGTTTCTTGGCCTGTTCCTTAAAACTGCAGCTGGTGAGAGCAGGACTGCTCCTTCAGGTTCTAATCCCTGCCCAGCAACTGTCAACAAATTGAGCTAGATGGTGTCTGCAGCTGAGGATGCCCAACCATGCTCAGAACCAGATTCTAAAGAGACCACTGGTCGCAGAATGTACAATAATCACCGTAGACCTGGGTGTATCTAGTTGCTCCCTGGTCAGATGTGCAATGGCAGCACTGTTCCACATAGCCCTTCACAGACTGGCTATTGACTGTATATCACTTTCCTGCACCTATTTAACGACATACGAGGCAAGCTGAAGTATATTTACTGATGATGTTTACCCTGACACAAGCAGATGGAGTCTTATATTTCTCAAAGAATGATCCTTAAATTCTAGAACCTGATGTCCTCTCAGTGATCTGAGATCTTTTACTGAATTTAAAATTTCTGCAGATCACACAAGTTCCATCTATATTTTCAGGGATCCGCCTGAGGAAAACAGATAAATACAATCTGCACAAACTGTACCTTGGGGATGTAATTTAACTACAAAATTTATTGTAAAATTGTATGAATTACTAATAATTACAAGTAAGTTCAATCTCACACTCAGAATTTTAATTTTCATATGTTCTCTGTCTGGAAAACCCCCAAATTAAGAGAGAAAACAGAAAGACTTGGAACAAAAATGTATCAGTAGATACTAGTTAATTTGCTTCTTATACGGTGAAAGGGTAAACTATAATCTGAATCACTGTCATGTTAAATCTTAAAGAAAAATCTGAGTTACACTCAATACTTCTAGCAATGACTTATCAATCAGAAGTCTCATTCTTCATTTTGTTTCTATTCTCAGTATTTGAGTTGCTTTGAATCTGAAGCATTTTAAAGTCAACACAAAGCACCACTCATATGCATTTCATTTTGAAAAATCACTAGTGTAAAAGATAAATCAAGCATTAAAAAAACTTCAACATACCCGTTCATCATTTGTTGCTCTTGTTGATTCTTCCTTCCCCTCATCTGGCAGAGGCATTCTAGTCAAAGCTAGTCCATTTAGGGCAGCTAGCTTTAGAGGCCCTATTTTTTTTGCATCATTTTTATTCTTTTTCATACCCTGCAAAAAAAAAGCTACAAGTTGTAAATATTCTTAAATATCCTATGAAGTTATAAAGCAGAAACCAGATGAGTTCAATTAAGAAAGGATACTTCTTTGACCCCTTCTGCAAACAGCTCTGACCTTTTTTTCTTGATAAGCACTGCAGTGAGAGATTAGGGTGGTGGGACTACATTCCTCCAAAGACACAACACAAGTCTGTCTTCATTCCAAACAGGTTAATGAAACTGCATGAGAATGACAAATATTGTTCCCTACAAAGCTTACAACTGAGGGTGTGAGGTGACAACTCTGGATAATTAACATTCTTGGACAGAATTGAAGTCACTTTCCAGCCCCTAAAAAAGCCATAAAAATGATTCCTTAACTAGACAATTCAGTTTGTAGGCTCTTTTCTTCCCTACAAGCAGGCATAACAATGAGCATATACCTTTAAGATATCTGGATATAGTTAAATGTTTGACTAAGTTTGCAACTAACTTCACATAGAAAACAAGAACACAAAACTGCAGACAGATCTGAGCCCTGAACCAGGCCATGAATCTAAATTATTGAAGTTACCATTCATTATTTGAGAAAAATACCAAAGGGGGATTTTTATGAAAGAATAAATTAAAATGATTCTTTTAAGAAGTGTAAGAGAAAACTTAATCATTCTTGCAGTTGCTAAGTTTGGTTGTTGACAAAACTTCACTGAAAATGTGAGTGTATATGCTGCCCGAATGATAATCAATGCTTTCAAAAGCTAAATGGCAGTAAGGAATAGGAAGACAAAGCTAAGAAGATGAGACCACATTTAAAAGTGAAGTGAACACAAACACAACAGTAAGAGTTCACTGAAAAGCATAACGTGCGAACATTGGTAGGGGCCAGCTTTGTTACCAGGATATTCATCTCAATATTGAATACAGAAAGGTAATATTCTCTATTATGCAATGGCACTTTCAAACTCTACTGAACTAGAATACTTTCTATATTTTACTGAACAGTTCCAGTGAAAAAGTTTTAATATCAATTTAATTTCAAAGGTTGACTTGAACATTCACATAGCTATCAGAAGGAAAAGGCAGGGTATGATTTTGGTAGACACTCCAGTGCCTGAAAATATATCTTTTGGAGAACAAAATACTAAGTGACTATCTAAACGTGAACACAAGGAGAAAGGTAACTCCTTTTTTCCCTATATCCACATAACAAAACAGGAGATTTAGAAAAACATACACAATTACAAAATGAATTGAAGCTGATGAAGGTTCGTTTCATTGTGTTCAGCTCCATGCGTAGCAAGTCTGACAAGACAAAAAATTGTGAGAGCAGTAGCTATTTAAATACATAGCTTTTGCATAGGTTAGCTTTTGCAGCATCAACTGTAACAGTTAGTACAGCAGCAGAAGTTATACGGTAGTTCCACTGCAGTCCAATTTGTGCAGAAAACTATTTGACACTAACTCAGGCAGGCAAAGTTAACAATCAATTTTAAAAGGCAAAATAATAGTAAAAATGGTCTTCCTCCATTAGCACCTGAAATATGCCACATACTACATAAAACTGAACAAAAGTTTAAAACAAAATGAGCGGTAAGGACTGCCAGTGAAATTGTACAGTCCCACACAGACCTGAATGTTTCTATGAGGTGGGAATTACAGGGAAGGTGAAACTTGCAGTTGTTCACTATTTATGGCTTCGTAAGATTGGAGTAGGAGAAAGAAACACGGCAAGCAAGAAATACCTTTAGTGGGATAAAAACAGCTTGAAGAGAAGGCAAAAGGGGAAGGGTATGAAAAGGGGAAGGGATGGAGGAAAGAAGAGAATGCAAGGAAAGAATTTATTGCCTAATGCATCAGGTCCCCCTCTTAGGTCAGAAGAAGAAAGCAAACAAATCAAAAAAAGTAACATTCAGCTACATCCGATTTTTCAGCGAGAGGAAGATTAGAAAACTGGTAGTGGAATGGAAAGAGTTGTTTCTGTTCCAGATAAGGATAGGTAGGGCAGAATTTGGGATCTAGAACTGACATTAAATTAGCTCATTCTACAGTTGCTAGCCAGGTTAGGTGTATCAGATGGAGGGAAGCTGCACAGCTGGATTTGTGTGGGAGGACTATGCAAACAGAACTCAGACATGGCAGAGAAGGGGATAAAAGCAAAGTTAATCAGGGAAAAACAGAAAAAATAAAGGTCAAGCTTAAGGTAGCTTTTAATTCACATGTTTTAAAAGCATCTCAGGTTGATTAAAAAACCCCAAACCTCAAACAAAAACCCCACGCAACTCCCACTACAGAACAACCCGAAACAAGAGGAATAGTATCCACTTACACCTAGGGGGGGAAGGCCTTCCACAATATTCTTCTTCCCAGACAAAAGATCTGACACAGGTCTCTTCTTTACTGAATCTTTCCTTACTCTGTATCTCCCTGATGTTGTAAGATCAGATTCCGACATAGATGGAGTAAGCAGTCCTTCCCCTCTTCTCTGCACCTGGCTCTCTACTAGCAAATGAACGGGGCTCATATCTTTCATTCTCTTTTCTGTCTCTGTAATATGTAATTTAGGCTCAAGAATATGCAAAGGGCCAGCAGATGAAGCAATAGAGCTATAAGGGTAGTTCAGTACTGAATCATGAGAATAACCACCCATAACGGATGAAAGTTGGGTTTGATCTTCAGGGAGAGGAGAAAGACTTGTACTAGCCTTGTTTTCTTCTTCAAATTCTTCTTCCTCACTACTGTGAATCAGCATAGTGGCATCTGAAAGGGTTTTCTTATGATCACAGTTCACACCTTCTTCTTGCTCACTTTCTTTTTGCTTTGTTCTCTCCATCAGAATGTTGGGCTGTGACCCTTCCGAGATAACTCTTGGAAGAGCCACATCTGCTGCAGAAGCTGACATGGTCCTCTCTTTAATTCTCATTCCTTCAAAACTGGGAGTCAAGCCTGCTATTTCAATACTGTTCCTTTTCTGCAGCTGAGCATGGCGTGCCGATGTCAGAGGTTCACTGACTTCCTGAAGAGAATGTGCCACAGGCAGGCTGTCTTCCTGAAATGTCTGGACAGAATGGTGCACTCGCCTTGTGATAAGATCTGGATTGCTGCTGCTAATGTAGATATGTCGTGAAAGGTCTGGAGTACTATTTGCAGGTCTTGGATATGGGTATGGGGGAGGTGGTCGATAGACTTGGGTCTTCATTATATTTGGTGCTGGATAGTCCTGAGCCTGGAGCTGCACATTTGTCAACTCGGGCACACTGACTGCCCCAACAACTGGGCGCTTTTCAGGCCCCCTGGCTGCCGCGACAACTGGGCGCTTTGCAGCAGGATAGGGATAGGGGGATTGGCTATGAAAACTGTAGTTCAGGTTAAATGGATAATGGTTAGATTGCGGGGAAGTGAAGTGAGCATGTTCTCGTATTTCAGGTTGACTGTAAACTAAGGCATCAGGCCTGCTGTAAGCATATGAATTGCTGATGTTAAGATTTCTCATTGAATGACTCTGCCTATCTGTGTGCACCATTCCCCTGTTGAGCTGTCTCATCACAGTTTCATAGTCTGGCGTGGGACGATAAGAAGGTGGTATTAGTGCACTATGTCTGTGCGATGGGACATAGTCGGTTCTGAGGACATCACTTCCAGTAATGCTTGGGTTAGAGGACATAGGGGACGGCTGCAAGTAATGCTGTGGATTGTTCAGGGAGTTTGTGCTATGTGCACTATAGACGCTACCATTGCGTATCCGACCACTGTAGTCATGAGGGGCTCTGTCCAAGCTAGTCTGAGAGTGACAGTAGTATCCATTCTGATTGCTCACAAAGAGGTTATCTGAAAGTAAAGTTTAAGAACAATCTTTATATCCAAGATATCAAACAAAGATATCCTCTATTAAGACGTAGCTAACCAATGTTTGGGATTTTCACAATCTCAATTATTCTTAGCTATGTATTGAAATGGGAAGGGAAAAAAAAACCAACCTCAGCTTTTTTGTTGTTGTTGATACCTAAGGTATGTATACCAGAATAACCTATTACGTTCATTTAGATGATGCAAATTTCTATTAGAAAACATTGTCTCAGTTTAAGAATGACTTTCTTCCATTTAGGATACGTTTGCTAAGTTTCAGTCCAAGTTAAACAAAATCTGTATCAATCTTAAACTGCACTAATTGAAAGAAAGAACATCTACACCAGGGTTTGCACTAATCTAATGAGATCAGTTTAAGCAGCAAGAAAGAAAAAGCAAACAAAAAAAGCACCAAACCCCTAAAAACACCCCCACAACAACCAAAGAAAAACCCCCTCACTCCTCTCCCTGCCCCAGGCCATAAGTAGGTATAGTATCACAAGACCTTCAAAAACAAAACAAAACCAAAAAAACCAAATAAATTAACTTTTTTCCAGAAATTTTAGAGACAGTTTAAACCACCACCATATATTGCTTGCATATTACCATATACCCACTCTGATGGGTAAAGAAAATGATCTAACAGTTCATAGAATCATAGAATGTCCTGAGTTGGAAGGGACCCACAAGGATCATCGAGTCCCACTCCTGTCCCTGCATAGGACAACCCCAAAATTCACACCATATGTCTGAGGGCATTGTCCAAATGCTTCTTGAATGTTGTCAGGCTTGGCACCGTGACTACCTCCCAGGGGAGCCTGTTCCAATGCTCCACCACCCTTTGGGTGAAGAACCTTTTCCTAATGTCCAACCTAAACCTCCCCTGGCATATCTTCTTGCCGTTCCCTCGGGTCCTATCATTGGTCACCAGGGAGAAGAGATCAGCGCCTGCCCCTCCTCTTCCCCTTGTGAGGAAGCTGTAGACCGCAATGAGGTCTCCCCTCAGTCTCCTCTTCTCCAGGCTGAACAGACCAAGTGACTTCAGCCGCTCCTCATA